AAATTAGAAAACCTAGCAGAAATGGATAAATTCCTGGGCAGATACAACCTACCAATATTGACCCAATATGAAGGTAGAAAACCTGAATAAACAAATTATGAGCAGCGAGATGAATCTGTAATAAAAAGTCTCCCATCAAAGGGGGAAAAAAACCCTGCTGAAAATTTTATTGGGATTATATTGAATCTATATATCAGTTTGGGGAGAATTGACAGCTTAACAATATTAAGTCTTCCAATTCACAAAAATGATATATCTCTCCATTTTTAAAAAGTCTTATTTAATTTCCTTAGGTAGGTATTTTTTGTGGTTTTTAGTATACAGGTCCTATACATGCTTGGTTAAATTAATTCCTAAGTATTTTTCACTTTTGATGCTATGGTAAATGGCATTTAAATTTTTATTTTCCACTTGTTTGTTGCTAGTATACAGAAATGCATTTGGTTTTGTACATTGATCTTGTATTCTTCAAACTTACTAAATTCACTTATTAATGTAGCAATAAAATTTTAATGAATATGGAGTTTCAGTTTGGGAAGATGAAAAAGTTCTGGAGCTGGACGGTGGTGGTGATGGTTATACAATCACGTGAACATATTTAATGCCACAGAGCTTCTAATGGTAAATTTTATGTTTTTATGTTATATATATATTATCACACTGTTTGGGTAGATTTGTTAGTATTTTCTAGGTACATTATTATTATGTTCTATGTGGATTTAAAAAGTTTAACTTCTGTATTCATAAAAGAAGGAGGAAGACAAAGAGGAGAAAAGAGAAGATAGAAATGAAGACAGCTGATAGCCACATTTAGCTTTCATTGAACACAGTTGAGGATTCAGAATTTTTCATTTGCTGCCTATATCAGCAAAGATTAGAAAATTTGCAGAGAATGACATTCACTATTATTAGGCAATTCAGAAGATGACACAGAAAGACAGCAGCACTCTCTAATGATAGTGATGAAAATGAAAGTATAAGGGAAATCTTAGAATGAGTCTTCAAATGATAACATCCCAGATAATTTTTCTTGAACTCAAGAATTAACGATGAACAATTTATTTCTAATTTCAAAAAGGAAATATGACATTCTCATTCAGTGAATCATTCAGCATGAAGGACTTCATCACACAATATTTCACAAGATAATCCTGGACCATCCCATTTTGCTAAAAGGACAGTATTGTGTGACAGTGTTCTTTCATCTTTTATGATGTTTGTACATCAAAATGTACTTTATATATTAAAATTTATTCTGAAAAATAAGAAGTTAAAAATTAATCCCAGAAATCCATCTAGGCTTATGTTTGTTCATGTGTGGAAGATAACCTGGGTGGCCTGTGAAGGCAGGCCTCAGACAGTGCCTTCGTCCTGGGCATCCCTTCAGCCTTTCTCGGTGGACAAGAGGGTTATGAGAGAAAGCAGCTAAAGGTGAGGAGCACCCAGGCCGCCCTCCCTACTAACGCATCTCCTGTCTCTGCCTCTGACTCCACCCCTTGCTCTGCCATGGTGCTAAATTCAAGACCCTGCCCTCCCCTGTGAGGGCTCTCCACATCTTCAACTGACCACAAATCTATCCACACCCCTTAGTTTGCCATTCAAGGCCCTATATCCTGGATCCTCACCCATGCACGTACCTGCTCGTGGATTCTACCTGGGCTGTTCCCTCTGCCAAGGCAGTCTGACTCCATTCTCCCTCTGGACCCTGGTAGCTTCCCTTGCTCGGTCTCCAGTTCCTCCCAGTGCAATGTTGCAGCCAGGCTGACCAGGCTGACAACCGATCTGCCAGGGGATGCTGCCTCTAGGGGGCAGTGGGTCCTCTCTGCCTCTGTGGGGGAGCTGTGGTATGAAGTGGGGAGTGGTGAGGACTGTGGTGCTCAGCCCTGCCTACCTGCTACAGCTGAGGCTGTCCCTAGAAGGATCCCACCCAGCACTTCCTGGACTCTTCACTTTTTCAAAAGAGCTCAGAAACTGGGTCGTTATGTAAAATCTCTTGTTTTTTTCAATGCCAGCAACAACTCAAAATTTTAATGGCTGTGGAGTTTCAGTTTGGGAAGATGAAAAACTTCTGGAGCTGGAAGGTGGTGATAGTTGCACAACCATGTGAATGTACTTAATGCCACAGAGCTTGCCCACTTGAAATTGTTAAAATGATAAATTTTATGTTATGTGTATTTTATCACACTTAAAATAATTTAAAGTGTGTGGGGGTTTCCCAACACCCCTCCTCAGGTGAGGGCAGTGTAGTAAACAGTGACGATGGGTAGGGGAGGGAATCAGAAAGGGTAGGGGAAGAGAGGGGTTGGGTTAGGGGCCAGGCCAGGTCTTGTCCATGGGCAGCAGGGGTCCTGAAGGAGGGGCCATTGACGTGTGTCCAGGTCTGTGTGCTGCATTGGGTGGGGGAGAGTGTGATCATTCAGCAGAGGTGGGCAGTGGGCTCAGGGGGCGGTCAGAGGGGTGGGGGTTGAGGGCAGGTGATCCTGGGTTCAGTTGCTCACCCCTGGTCGGCAGGCCCTAGGTGGCAGGAGGCCATTCACTGGAGGCCAGAGACAGGTGGTACTCCCAAGAACGCTGATACCCTCATGGGGTGGGACCCCCAGGGAGCCTGCCAGTGCCTTTGGATGCTCAATGCTGGGGTTCTTCCCACTCAATGTTGGTCATTTTGCAGCTGAAGAAACTGAGGCACGGGGAGGCCAGGCCCCCTCCCTAACCTTCCTGTGGTAGCCTTGGCTCTGGGCAAGCAGTCAGGGAGAGCCCAGCTGTGCTCCACCTTGCTCAGTGCGGAAGTGACAGTGAGGGCTGGGCGAGGTGAGCAGGGGATGGCGAGGGTCACAACACACCCCTTTGAGAACAGGCCTTGAGGAAGTTCTTAGCTCCTGGGGTCACACCCCCTTTATCTAGTGGCCAAGGGGTACTTTTGTGGGGCCTGCCACCCCATGTACACCTGCGCCCAGGCCTCCACCTTGCCTGTGGCACCTGCCTTCACGTGTCCTGGTGGAGCAGGAGATCCTGCCTGGGGATCCTTGGGGAATCACATGTGGTGAGCCAAGCCATGTGCCTATGAAAAGGAGAAAAGGAAGGAGATGGAAGAGGAGCAGGGGAGAAGGGGGTTAGGATCAGGGGAGGGGAGAGGTGGCCTGGGCCTGCACAGAGCTGCAGTGGTGGGACTGAGGGTGGCTCTGCTCTCAGCGGCCAAGTAGGGTTGTGGTGTCCCTATCTCCCAGTGCCCTTCCTTGGGGTCTGGCCCCTGCCCTGCTCCTCTCTTCTGCTTTCAGACATTTGGGATAAACTCCAAACAGCAGACCATGGCCTTTAAGATCTAGCCCCCAGGGTCCCCACTCTCCTTTCTCATCTGTGTCTCCAGGGCCCTCTCCCCTCTGAGGAGACCCTCCCAGGGACCCAACCTAAGCCCAGCCTGCTCCCTGGGCCCTGTGGAGTCCACCAGAGCCCAGTCCTCTGTGTCTCCCTCCCTCCCTGTCCCTCCTGTGTCCATCTCTAAGTCCCTCTCTCTCCTTGTCCCTTCTGTGTCCCAAAAATAAAGGATGGCAGGTTTTTTTTTTATCTTTTGTTTTAATCTTTTGTCACTACATGGGAAATGTGGGGTGTTGGTGGCCCATGTTGCTCACAAAGATCCTGAACACAAGAGAGGCTGCCTGTGGCAGGTGGATCCAGGCTGAAGCAGACCGTTTACTTTCTGCCCCAATGCCTTCTGGCCACCAGACACACTGCCTGCCTTCCGCTTAACAGGGGTTCAACACGGTGTCCATCACCACCTCTAAGTCCACAGGATCGTGTTTGGCCACAGCAGTGACCTGTTGACCAGGCCTGGGGTCTGGAGCCTGCACTACTGTGCCCACCGATGGGTGGTGCCCTCTGGAGAGGCGTCCCTCCCAGGAAGCTGAACCCAGGCTCTGAGCCCGAAGGGAGGGTGTGGGCCTGGGAGGGCTTCGTGGCAGGTGAAGCAAGGTGGGATGGGGTGAGGGGTGACATGAGGGGCCCCTCCCAACAAGACTAGGGCAGGGGGTCTCTGATCACACCCCCAGGGATCCCTGCATCCCACCTCTTGGCAGGAGGATGGATAGCTCCTTGAACTGAACCCCAATGGCTGGGGGTCCTTTTTCTCTTTTTCCTTCCTTACCCCAATCCTGGAACCCGCAGTCTCTAATGCTGAAATTCCCAGATCACAACAGCTTGTGCATCCGCAGGAAGGTCTTCTCGTCCTCCTGTTCTGAGGGAGCGAGGACTCTCCCATACCAGCCGCCCTGGTGTAGATCGCGTGGGCTCCACACTGTCCTGCCTCCCGGCTCAGCAGGGCTCTGTGTCCTGGGGTGAACCTATGGCCACGCCTTCCCGCAGAGTGGGTGGTGGTGCCTCCTCCTTCATGTGTGGGCCCGTCAGCCCACATTTCTTTAGGTGCCTAACCCATTGCTAACGAAAAGTCAGACATGGTGCTGCGGAGACGCACACCTTCAGATTCTGGCACCTTCCACCTGCCTTGGTTTTCTCAGCTGTCACGTGGGGGATAGGTAGGATGCACCTCAGGCATTGTTCAGGGCAGTCCTTCTCAAACAGGCCCCAAAAGCCTCCACCCCCAACTCTCCTCCCCTAGGGGTTCTGATCCTATTGGGGAGGGGAAGACGGGAAACTGCACCTCTCATCCACTCAGGTGTTGGCGGCTTCCACTGGAACCCCAAAATGAGACCACCTCTGAAGACTAAGCCCACTGCCACACGCTCCAAAAGCACCAGCAGCAGGTGACATTCCCAGGGAATCAGCAAAGCCCTGCAAAGCGGCCATGACGGCGACCTCAAGTTAGGGCTTTTTTCTCCAACACACAAAAATGACTAACCTTTAGAAACAGGGATATTTGTCTTGAACACAGAAGGACCCTGAAACCCTGCAGGGCTGCCGTGAGCACCCAAATTACACTTCCTCCATGTCCTTCCCGAGTGCACCTCTCAGTCCCTCTCCCTCCCTGTCCCTCCGGTGTCCATCTCTGAGTCCCCAAGTCCCTCTCCCTCCTTTTCCCCCATGTCCATCTCTGAGTGTCCCTCTCCCTACCTGACTCTCCCGTGTTCATCTTTGAGTGTCCCTCTCCCTCCCTGTCCCTCCCATGTCCCTCTCCTTCCCTGTCCTTCCTGTGTCCATCTCTGTATCTCCCTCCCTCCCTGTCCCTCCTGTGTCCATCTGTAAGTCCCTCTCCCTCCTTGTCCCTTCTGTGTCCCTGAGTGTTCCTCTCCCTCCTGGGTCCCTCTCTGAGTGTCTCTCTTCCTCCCTGTCTCTGATCTCTTTGGATCTCTACTGGCCTCTCACACTGCAGTCAGTGTCTCTGTTCTGTCCACTCTGTCCCCACCCTACTCCCTAGGTGCCCACTCAGCCCTGGCTGGCAGCTTTGGGTGCTGGTCTTACATCCCAAAATCAATGCTCTGCTTCCTTGGGGCAAAAGGCAGGGCAATCCCTGTGAGGGGGTCAGTTCTTGGAGAAGAGATGGGCCTAGCTGACCCCCAGCAGCTGTCTTCCTCACAGTTGAGTGTGTGCTTCTCAGGACTTCAGTAGAGGATTCCACTGAGCTGGATGAAAATGAGTTTCCCTCTATCCCCAGTTCATTCCCCTTTCCATGTTCCTTCCCATGGGGCTCCAGCAGCAGCCTCTGCTCCAGTGAGCTGTGGTTCTCAGTGTCCACCTGCCTGTCTCTCTGGTTTGGGGGCAGCATGTGCTGTATGACGGCAATTCTCTGATGGATCTGAGAAATGTGGATTCTCTGCTCCGCGGTTTTGTTGTTCAGATGGGAATCCCTTCCATGGTCCCCTGTCAGGGGACGTGGGATCTCCAGACGTGGTGGAGGCTGGAGATCCCAGTGCTGGCTGGGGAAGTGGCCAGGGGCTCCCAGGCTCTGGACTTGGGTGACCCTGTCCTGAAGGTTCCTGGGAAGGGGGAGAAGGCAGGTGGGACGTGGAGGGCTGGGTCGCATCTCCACCTGGGTATTCTCCCAGTCAACAGCAGAGAGCTCCCCAGGTAGAGCGCCAGGTGGCCAGACCTCTGTGAGAGGTAGGCACCACCCAGGCTGAGAGCCAGGAGGGGCCAGAGGTGCTTTTAGTGGGATCAGTCCTTTCTGCTAGGCCCGTAGTGCCAGGGTTCTCTCCAAGAGCTGCAAGCCCAGTCTTGCTCATGGCACTCACTTTCTGTTCTCCACACGAGCTGGATGTGAGACAAGAAATTTAGACCATCTCAACTGCTTAGTGCTTTCTTCCCCCAAAGCCCTGCGATGAGGAAGTGGGCAGTAGGATAGACTACTCATCTGGTCGTCCAACAGGTCATGAACGGGCCCATCGACAACACAGATGGCTTGGGTGCTGCCACCAGCCACAGCCAGGAGAGCAGTTCTCTAAACCTGAGGGAACAGGCCTTGGGCACAGGCAGGCTTACTGGGGAATTTGGGCTCTATCCTGGGAGTAGAGGCAGCTTCTATCCCAAATGCATGCCCTACAGCCCTGCCCTGCCTCTGGGAAATGTGCCTGCCCTACAGTCCCATCCAGATGGGAAATGTGGGGGAAATGCAGCCTGTGTCTAGGAACTCATGGTGGCCTGAGCACAGAGTAAGGGGTGATCCTCAAGAACACCCCCACCTTGGGGGACCAGGAGGGTGGAAAGGAAGTTTAAAGTGCAAAGACAGGCTCCAGGCTGGGAGGTCTGGAATAAATGATGAACAGCTTAGTAAAATGGTGAAAAATACAAACAAAATTCACAGAAGGAACCTGAATGCCTAATAAAAATATAAATGGGAGTTCAACCTCACCATGACAAGGGAAATGCATGGGCAATCCAACTTAACACTCAGCATGACTGCAAACATTAGAGTCCATTAAAATGGTGAGGAGCTGAGCAACAAGACCCACTCACAGGAGGTGGGTTCATTCCCCTTTCCATGTTCCTTCCCATGAGAAGTTCCTTCCCGTCCCAGAGGATGCCCTGTGACCCCGCAACTCCACTCACAGGAAATGCCTAGGGAATCTCTCACACTTGAGAATGACTGCTGCATTGTTGTAATATTGAGAAATTGGGACCAACCTAAGCACTCACCAACAGGATGTTGTTAAATAAACTGTGATATTCACTTAATGGAATATCACACCCCACCTGGGGGAGTGGAGGAGAGTGTGTATGGACACAGACAGCTCATGAAGGGAAAAGGGAGAAAGAAAAGCAAGTGACAAACATATTGATTTATACAGTTTATAAATACGCATACAGTGAAAAATGACACCATCAAGCCAGGCACAGTGGTGCACACTTACAGTCCCAGCTACTTGGGAGGCTGAAGCAGGAGGATCACTTGAGCCCAGAGGTTTGGGTCCAGTCTGGGCAACACAGGGAAAACTCTGTCTCAAAAAAAAAAACTTTAAATGACCGTATCATGGAAAGTTCTGGCGAGCAGTTATCTTCGGACAGAGATGAAGCAGCTGGGGGTGGGGCGGGGGGCGGTCACTGGGGTCCTAGCTGCTCTGAAGTTGCGAGTGGGGACAGAAGAGCCTGTTCAGAAGGCTGCTGACTGTCCAGGGCTTTGCAGAGTGCCTGGTTCTGCCAATGGAGGGTTACCAGCAGGAGAGCCTGGGGTGTCGAGTCAACGGGGCCCTGTGCTCAGTTAATGCTTTACTGTTGCTGTCTTGGTATCACTTGACTTTTGAGTGTGGCCGGTGTTGCTTTAAGTTTCTGGGGATAGCAAAAGTTTAAGAAGTGACTCTTGCCATCACATGGCTGATCTGGGAACACTGGAGAATAGTTTAGGGGTGACTGAGTTTCCCCCACTGCACAGAGACAGCCTGGTGCCAGGGAAGACAGGCTGGACCTGGTTGTGGCCCCCTGAATGGTGGTGGGGAGACGAGAGCACATCACAGGGCCCTGAGGGTGATGTGTATTTGAGGGGGTAGGGTTCTCCAGGAGCAGGTGTTGCACAGAAGGGAATGATGGGTACAGAGCTGGGTTAGTTTCAGCAGAGGTGTGAAGGTGATTCCTCTCTGAGCTGGAGGTGGGAGCAAACGAGAAAACGGTCTGGCATGAACAGACCAGCCCTGGGGAGGCAGACAGTGTCAACCACCACCAGGTCCATCTGCTTGAGGTATACCTTCCTACCAGGACATGAGAGCCCACAGTGGCTGGGGTCTTGTCATCAGGTACCCTGAATGCTTTCAAGTGGATGGTTTGGATCTCTCCTCACATGGCTGGTCAGGCCAGGGACGACAAGCTGTGGACCTAACAGGTGACCACTGTCCAGACAAGGCCTATTCTACCTCCTTGCCTGGCTGTCCCCTCCTCAGGCCTGTTGCCCCTTCTTTTCTAGACCCTCTGCCTGTGAGGTGTGTCAGCCTTTCTGCCTGAACAGCCTCACTGAGACAGACCTGGACTAACAGTCACCCATATTGAGCCCAAACCCACCCTGGATGATGCCAAGCTTAGAAATGTCACCCTGGAGTCACAAAATCCATTCTCTGCATTACCAAGAAAGAGGTGGTCACTCAGGGGTGCTGGAATCTTCCCCACCTTAAGGCTGAGCTCCAGTCTGCAGCCCATTCACTGCAGGTACCTGGGTCTCCCGGCCTCTGATGACCCCAAACCCTGTCTCTTCCCTAAGGGTCACTGCCCTGGGATTTGCCTGCAGGCTAGGCATACCTGGTAAATGAGGTCTCCACACACTGGGTCATTAGTGCCCACAAGCAATCACTGGTGAGTTCCTGAACTCTCAGGCTGAAGCTCAGCAGTCCCACTAGGGACCATCACTGGGGTCACAAGATGGCCCTGATCCCCAGTTCTCTGGATCCCCAGTTCTCTGGACCAGGGCAGCTTCCTAAACTCCCTAGTCCAACAGAGGTAAGGGCTGCCCTTCCCTGCCAGAGGGGCCTCCTCCAAGCCCCACGGTGCCCCAACAACACTCCCTGTCCTCTGGTAGACCCGTACCTGCCTGTGTCTTGCACAAAGTGCACACTGGGAGGCAAGACCCTGTCTTTGCAGTAAGAGGGGCTTGGGGCAGTGCTCCGCTGGCAGGCAGACAGGCAGGGAGGCCCCAGCCCAATGCCTGAGTCAGCAGGCTCCTAACAGCCTGAGTGCCCTCCTCATGGCATGGGGTCAGTGCAGCGGCAATGTCTGGGTTGTTGAGGGTTTTGGTGGGTGATCAATGCTGGAGGATCCTCCCTCTGCCTTCCCCATCCAACACAGATCATCTTCAATGTGCCAGACCTGTGCAGGGCAACAAGGTTGGCTGAGGTAGTCTGAGACAGGGTCCCTTGATGAACAGTCCACTGGGAATGGGGTCTGCAGTGGCCCTGGATGATTTCAGTATCTGCCACTCACCTTGGTCATAGTGCCACAGAGAATGTGGCATGGCCAGGACTGTACCTGGGGCAGATGGTCTTGCTCTTTGGTTCTGGGGAGGAGGGCGAAGTGACCGGGCTCAGGTGAAGGAGCTGTTGGCTTAAGAGGAGGCTGCTCCAAGAAGCAAGTAGGAGACAAGGAACCACAGGCCTGCAAAAGGGGCAGGATCCTGGACCTGGGCCCCCCGAGTCACCAGCCACATGGCCTTGGGAGTGTCACTTACTTCTATGACTGTAGCACAATGAGGGGTTAGACTGCAAAGTCTCTGAGGCCCTAACCAGCTCTGGGGAAGAAGGCCTAGGACTGAGAGAGGCAGCAGGGAGGCTGGCCAGGGTCACCTTCCAGGTCCAGGCAGCTTTCTTGCAAGTGTTTCCTAAGCCGCCCTTCTCCAGGGAGAACAGCCTCGGCCCTGCCTAGCAGGAGGCAGCATACACCTGAGTGCCTGCCAGTGCCCTCATGAACCTGCCTGAGGATGGCCATGTTCCCACACCCCATGTGTGCCTATCTCCATCAGCATTGAGAAGACAGCAAATGCCAGCATGCCAGGGGTTTACCCAGCAAGCCCAGCATACCCCCAGAGTGTTCTGGTAGACCTGTGCCAGCTGGGTTCAGTGACGGTTGGTCCTGCCATGGGCTCTGGTCTCCCCATCACCCTCTGAGGGGGAAGCAGGAAGTTGTGAGGGGTAGCCGGGCTCAACCTCTCTTCCCTGGCACGACGCTGTCTCCATGTGCAAAGTGGGGACTTCAGGCATTTGGTATGGAGGAATGGATGGTGGATCGAAAGCCCCTACCAGGCCCCTGTCACACCACAGAGCCCAGTGATAGAGGGTTTCTTCCCTCCCTCTGAGGTAAGACCAGTCTGTTAAACTTCCAGCACTAAAAAATAAAACCCAGTGGGAGGAGAGTGAGGACTGAAAAACTACATTATCAGGTATCATGCTGATTACCTGGGTGACAAAATTATCTGTACACCAAACCTCTATGATCCAATTTACCCATGTAACAAACCTTGAACCTAAAATAAAAGTTGGAAAGAAAAAAAAAGGTAAAATTAACAAATCCACATTAGTGTGAGCTGGGTGAGTAGTTTAGTCTGAAAAGACAGAATATTCATTTTTCTTCTCTCTGAGATAGTGATCACACTGTCCTCACCAGGACTGGCAGGGGAAGCCCCAGGGCTTTGTGACCCTATCCCTATGGGGCACCCTGGCATCCAGTGAGCACTCCCCAGGGCAGCAGCCTGGTTTAAAAGCCTGTTCCCCAGACCCGGTAGTCAGATGGTGGAGGGAGCCTCAGGGACATAGCCCAGTTCTTCAGGACCTTGAGACACATGGGCTGCTTGGCCTCTGACCACCGAGGAGAGAGTTTATCAAGGACTGGCCAGGTTCTGTGCTGACAACTTCGTGCTTTTCATTCACAAAGCGAGTCATACTGCCCGTTCCCCGGCTGAGCTGGCTGCCAACAGGCCCAGTGGGGAGCAGATTTGAGGTGGGGGTGAGGTCTGTTCCCCAAGCGCAGTGTTCTGGGCAGTGAGTTCTCTGTGCAGCAGCTGATGCCTCTTGGACACATTTCCACACAAAACACTTCTCAACTGTTCTCCCTCCTGCACTCTTCAGGGGCAAATACGCCTCTCCTCTCTGGTGGGTTATTTCTGGCCCTGGGAGTATGCTAGGCAATTCTAAGGGTTGCCTTTGAAACAGTCTTCATTCAGCCAAGAAGTAATTCTCACACCCCTAGGTCCTGTCCCCAGGGGTGAGCAGGGTCGGAGGAGGCTGGAGATGGATACCCATGGAATGGGGTGGGGCACAGAGAAGGAGAGTCAAAGATCTGACTGAGGAAGAAGCAGGTGGCCAGCCACCTGGGAGACTTGTGTGTCAGACATGGGGTTATGTCCTGGAGGAAGCCCATTGTGAGGGCTCAGCAAAGGTAACAGCAGGTATGTACCTGGAGATCAAGGAGGGCCTTGGAGCCTGGTAGGCAAAGATGGCCCTCCAGTGGAATCATTCCCAACTCTGCACTCACCCTAAGCTTTCCGGTAACTACAGAATTCCAGAACCTGTTTGAAAGGATGTAAGATCTATAGCTACATTCCTTTTCTCCTCACTAATCAAAATCTTACAGGATTTCTAAAGCTGTGTTGAGATCTTACCCAGTGCATTCAGACCAGATGGGAAACAACCCCTAAGAATTCCCCACGCTGGTGTTTGCTGTGTACATTGGCCTGGGACCCCGAGGCCAGAATATAACAATAATGACCATGCACAGACAGAACTGTCTCAGCAGCAAATGTCACACGCAGACCCAGAACTGCTTAAATACCGATTTATTGCAAACCAACACCGAGGAGCTGGAACAGCTTTGCAGGCTGGACACCTCACTCTCCTGGGGCCCTGGACAAGGGAAATGAGTCACCCCGCTTTCCTCGGACCTCAGCTGGTGGGACTTAGTGGCTGGCCAAACTGCGGCTGTTGTGTCTAAAAAGAGAAAACAGGCAGGGTGTGCCAGCTCTGGAGACTGGGCCAGTCCAGAGTGGTGGCTCAGGGCAGAGAATCACCCACCAAACAGCGTGGCTCAACGGGAGCAAGGCGTGCAGGGACAGGCTCCACAACCACACCAAGCACTGCAGTGTGGCACCGGGACCAGATGCAAGTGGCTGCTCCTGCCATGGGGCCAATACCCAATACTGCCCTTCAGTCATTCTTCCTAGACATTGGTTTGCCATTTATTAAAGCAGGGCAGGGAGTGGGGAGAAATGCAACACAGAATACAAAATCAGGCAAAACAAACACTGGTCACCATGGAAGTGATTCTCAAAGTCTCCCAAATAACAAGGTGTAGGGCATCTCACACCACTGCATCACTTCTGGAAGACTACCCACAGGGTGGGGCTGCAATGGGGGCCAACTCGAGAACTACAGAGATGAGAGGAGACACACACAAGACCTCCTTTCATTAGGCAGGAAAGCTCTTATGGGACAGTGGTGTGAAATCCTAGGACCTCGACGGGAAGAACTCCAGGAAAAAAATGAGTCTTTCTCAGAAGGACCCCTCATAGATGACAAGAGTTCTGCTCCCCAGGGTCGAGATCTCCTTAGAGCGGCTTCACCAGCTCAGTGGCAAGTATCAGACAACAAGGCTCTCACATTCCAAAGGGGGTATCTAGGGCCTTCTGCTCTCGCGTGATGATCGGAGCAACATGTTTAGACCCACAGAAGACTTCCCAGGAATGCTTTCTTACAAGGGGTGTCAGCCACCACTGTAAACCAGAAACCAACCACAAACTTACTCTCCAAGACAGCCCCCACAACCCAAGTATCCACAGAGAGTGTGTGCAGGGGTGGGGTCCTTCCCCTGACAATAGGCTCTCTTAGCATCTGCAGGCCTTGATTCTTGCTGGCCGTGCATGGTGCCAGGGTGCACTGCTCTGCTGTGCGGCTCATCCATGCTCTGAGCTTGAGAGACAGGCAAATGGGCAGTGCCGGTGGTAGCTGAACCATACTCCCGGCGATGGGCACCCAGAGCCCCTGTGAGTACTTGGAACACAGGCCTGAGGCCCTGTCCCATAATTTCATCTTTGCACCTTGGCTGGAGTCAATCAGCAGCCATGGCTCAGGGCATAGGCTTGGGGCTCCTGAGGCAGTGACCAGTCCCCAGAGAACAGGTAAGATCGGGCCATAAGCTCCAGGGAGCGCAGTCTGACACCCGGCACAGAGGATGGAAAGGGGGGAGTCTTCTCTCTCTTCTGGTTCAGTTGTGGTGGGACAGTGTGCCTTCACGCCCCATGCAGAAATTCCACTTCTCCTAGAAGCCCCTCAAGGTCAAAGCTTCTCAGGACTTGTGGCTGTTGTGCTCTGCTGATGAGCTGATGAACATGCTGTGGTCTCCTCCTGAGGGCACCAGCTCTCCACTCCTGCCTACACTTTGACACCGTGCACCCAAAGAGGACGTCTTATGGGGAGCCAAGCACAGCATGCCATGCGTGGTGGCTGGGCTTGGTTCACTTCAACAAGAACCAAAGCAAGGTCGCCACAGTCAGAGAACAGAATCCCTGCTGCATCTGGACCTGAGCCCAGAACCCGGGCTTTCTCCCAACAACTAGAATGTGCAAACAGGGCTCCAGTTTCCACTGCTCTGACCATGAGGCTGAGGCAGGCAGAGCACATTTATAAAGGGATGAGCAAGAAGACCACGTGAATGCTCCCAAAAGAGGTCAAGGGGCAAAGAGTTTCCCAAAGCAGCCCCAGGCACAGCCATTCCTTGCTCGCCCTCATGCAAGCACAGAGCTTCACACACTTCAATGACTTCAGCTTCGCCTGAGAGCCCAGCAACAACTCCACATCCCAACCAGAAGACATGCAAGCAGAATAGCGTCAAAACAACAGCAAGCAGGGAGCAGGGGAGGAAAGACATGCTGCCTGCAGTGGCTGGTTGCTGTGGAGACAAAAGCATGTGATCCCAATTTGCTGGGATATCCTCTCCTGCATTTCAAACACCTTCACTCAGCGTCAGCCACAGCGGCCACCACACAGCAGCTGGCCCCGCACCTTCTCTGCAACAGTCTGGAGATGCAAGGTCAGGGTGGAAGGCCTGGTTCACCCTTGAAAGAAAGGATGGTTAGGGGTAAACAAGACGAGCAAGTCCCTGGAACGCAGGGAGCCGAGGAGGGCGGCCGAGGATAAGGCTCTGCCTCCCCACCGGCGAGGGTTTCCTTTCCTTCTGGTCATTAAAACTGCACAGCCCCCGGGGAGATGTTGAACATGGCGGGGTCGAATCGCTGGCCTCGGAAGGGAGAACCTTCAGCATCCCACCCCTTCTTCAGCATCTCATGGACTTTCTACAAACAGAAAATAGAGAGATTAAAGGGGATCAAAAGGCACTGTGTACTTTCTCCCAGAGCAGACTCTGACTGCAGGCAGAGAGCCTTCCTGCTTCCTCAGGGCTCAGGCACTTGCCTGGCAAGACCGGCTCCCAGAGAACCGTACTACCCTGGAGCAGCCTTCAACCAAGGGAGGTACTGGGTGCCTGCCAATTTCTCTGCAAGACTGTGCTCCACAGACTGAATTTCTAACCCTTCATCTTCTGTCCCCAGCAAAGCACTGGCTCCTCTTTATGGTTCATCTTGTCCCTTTTCCACCAGGATCTCTGTCCAAATTCCAAACAGCCTGCAACGTCTATGGTCCCACCAGGTACTGACTAAGGCACGAAGAGGGAGTGTCCCAGCCCACCGGGGTTGTAGAAAAGGTGCGTAGAGAAAGTGCTCAAGCCCCACCTGAGTCATAACTAAGGTGTGCAGAGGAGGTACCCTAGCACCCCAGGTATCAGCATCAAGAACTATATGATCAGACAATCCAGGGTTGACTCAGGATGTGGCATGGAGGAAAAGACCTCAGAATGTCCAGTGGTAGACCCGCCAGTCAGGAATTCCCCACTGCATCCTTGCAGACGCAGTCAGAGCTGGTTGACTAAGCCCTGGCCAACATGTGGCCATTCTGGAGCTATCTAGCCTCCAAGGATCAGAAGCAAGCCTGAGTGTGTGGCCATGGCAGGAGACATCAGGAAGACTGGACCCTGAGGGAAGCATCTGTACCTGAGTTGGCAGGCCCTCTCTCCTCATAGGGACTCCACATCTGCCCTCCTCACCTGGCCACCATGAGTACACTGAGGGCTGGGGATGATCTCTCCTTCCTTCTGACCTTCCGACCACAAGAGACAAAAGAGACCGTACAGGGCCAGTAGTTATTCTACCAATATGATCCACAGTCCCTGCTGCAGAAAACCCGGTAGCATAGGCCCAGAAAATGAGGCTGTGGGATTCTCAGCACCAGGGCTTCTCCTTAAATAAAACACAATCTTCCTAACAAGAGGGTTTTCTTTTTCCTGTTTTTATTTTTTAGAGATAGGGTCTCACTCTGCTTCCCAGGCTAGAGTGCAGTGTGTGGTCATGGCTCAGTGCAGCTTCAAACTCCTGGGCTCAAGCGATCCTCCCACCTCAGCCTCCTGAGTACTTAAAACTACGGGTGCAGTCCACCATACCCAGCTTCTTTTTCATTTTTTAAAACCTAAGTGATGCAACAACAAGCATATCAAAGACACATACTATATACTGGGGATGAATTGACATTACTATCAATTTCTTACAGGCAACTCACATTAGAGACTTTGGAAAGACCATTTTGAGAACAAGTGCTGCAGCTCATATGGAGTGGCTGTGGGTGCAGAGAAGACTACATGAAGACCCCTCTGCACAGCCCTGAAAGCATGGCCCACACCTCTGCCCACTGGAAGTGTGAGGCTGCATAGTCTCAACCAAACATAAGAATGGATGACTTCAGCAGGCGGCTGCACGAAGCCTCTGAACCTTTCAACAGAATCCCAGCCAGCTGTAGGGCAAATGACAGCTGCAGAGCCCTGCAGCCACCACACTCTCACCCTGGGAACCGGGTTGCTGGATGAGGGCCCGATGTAGAATTCCCAGAGTGCAAAGGGCAGATTAGTAGACTTGATCTTAAATAGAGGGAGCCTAGGATGCCAAGATCAGCATTCAGACCTTTCCTGAGGCAAAAGTGGAGAGCAGGCCTTCCTGTGTGTCACCAAATTCACTCTTATGACCAGAGACTATGCTAAAGCTATCTGCCTATGAGATGTCACAATTACTAATGTTAGGGTGAATCCTACCAGGCTGAAGAGATCCTAGACACAGACACATCTCAGCACAGACAGAGCAATGGCACCTGTACATTCCACATTCTCTTTCTAGATGGGAGAATCCTGCTCGAAAGAAATTAAATTAGGGAAAAGATGAAGGGTTTTAAATTTGATAACCGTGGAAAAAGGTTAGTGACACCAAAGAATTTAAAACAATAAAAGTATTATCATTTCAAAATAAAATTGCTTCAAAATACACAGCATCTGTGGCATTAGAAGCACAATTTGAAATCTTGGCAAATTTAGAAAACTCTGAGTTCACACCATAAATGGGCATCAATGCCAGAGCACGCTGGTAACTGTGACTATGCCGACGTGAACGGCAGATGGAGGCTGACAGGAGAACCTGGCCCTGTTTCCATTCTCTCTCCTTAGCGAAGCCTGGTGATCCCAGCGAAGCAACTCCGGCCCCCTAACTCTCACGATAGTCCCTCTGCCTGTAAGGTACCCCTCAGGACGCCTGAATAAAATGTGGCTAACCTGCTACATGAGGCCACACAAGGGCATGTACCTACCTTCTATGTCTGTTTCCTCATTTGATTTTTTAAAAAAAGGCTAGTCACTAAGGACATTTTACATGAAATCTCTGTGTGTTGCAAGCCTCCATATGCTGCAGACCCTGCCCCAGACACTGTCAAGCCCAGGAAGGAGTTGAGACTTTAGCATCAGCACCAGGCAGGTGCTTGGACACACACTCTGAACGACCATAGCCCTGAGAGGTCAGTTCATTACTGTCTACAGCTGTTGCCTGAGAGCTGGAGGCTCCCTGGCTGTTGAGGAGCAGATCGACCCCAGGGAGAGGGTCACTCTGGGACCTACCCCTGCACCACCAGCCCTGGGCTCCTGCATGTTGCTGAAGATCTCCCAGGGCACTTTACCCTGGGGAGGGACACACATCCTCTCAAGGGTCAGGATGGTGCCTCATGGCAAGTCTACAGCAGAACAGATTTCGATTTAACACACAGAGCTCTTTCCACTGGACCACAGCATCTTCAAGGTTCTTTGAATCCTTCCTAACTGGGTCGCTGCCCAGTCTATGGGCTCCCCAATGCTAGGTCACAAGAAGCTGTTTGCAGGCATGGGGACTTTCTGTTCCACATCTGGGCTGTGCAGTGCCCTAGGGACCAGAAAAACAGCTTGCCAAGAGGACACCAACAGGATGACCCCACTGAATTGCCCTCAGAGCAGGGCAGTAGGGCATGAAGGGGATGTCAGCTGCACCCTGCGATGCTGCATGTGTGTAATTATGTATGTGCATGGTGCTTACATACAATGTGTACTGCTGCCATCTTTCACCCCTTGAGGTTGGCCTTTCCCAGACTGACAGTGAGGATCTAGGTAGGGGTCTGAGGTCCAGAACTGCCTGGAAGTTGCCTCAGCTTACCTGGAATGGACAGACCTCCCCGTTCCTGGTCCTGGGCAGTGGGCTTGGCAACAAGCCATCAAAATGAGGAGGCCTTAGGCCTCCAGAAATGGAGAGACAAGAGCAGCTGCTTCCTGGGGAGGATTATCAATGAGACTGCAAAGCAGGACTGAAATACTCTTTGGAGAAGCTAAGATTAAAATGGCTGGAATCCTAGCACCACAAAGGCAGATCTGTGTCTGTCTTCCTCACCGACATGCCCCAATAGGGGGGTGAGACTATGCAATGTTACAAGGTTTTGGCACAGAACATAAAGGATGGGGGAAAGAGACTGAGACGAAGGTCAAGGAGAGGGAAGGATATAAGGGAAAGAAAAGGGAAACAGAAAGAAAGGAGGGAAGGGGAGGGGCAAGGATGTAGAGAAGAAGAAGAAAAGGCTGGTGGAGCCCCTGACACCTCTATGCATGTCCTTGGCACTACTGGCAACTCCAATGATGAGCAGGTATTACTGTTATTTTGTTTTTGAATGTAAGGTTCTGTAAGAGATACAATCACAGGAAACATAAGGGCTTAGAGAAAAAAACAGCCAGAGCATCCTAGCTTCTCTCATGCCTCAACAGCTAAAGTCTACATAAAAATGGCCGGGTGTGGTGGCTCACGCCTATAATACCAGCACTTCGGGAGGCTAAAACAGGTGGATTACCTGAGGTCAGGCATTCGAGACCAGCCTGGCCAACGTGGGGAAATCCTGTCTCTACTAAAAATACAAAAATTAGCCGGGCGTGGTGGTGTGCATCTGTAGTCCCAGCTACTCAGGAGGCTGAGGCAGAAGAATCACTTGAACCTGGGAGGTGGAGGTTTCAGTGAGCTGAGATCACGCCACTGCATTCCAGCCTGGGTGACAGAGCGAGGCTCTGTCTCAAAAAATAAATAAATAAATAAATAAGATGAAGTCTACAATAATTTCATCAAGGCTTTGACAAATGCACAAATACCATTTAAACTACAGTAATTTTTATCATCTCTCTGTAACAAAGACTCAGTGTCAGCGTCTGGGGAAGATGCGAGGAACCACCTGACCTTAGTCCTTCCATCTTGTGGCACAAAAAGACACTTCTAAGGGGCACGTGGTAAGACTGCACAAAGGGCATCTGGGTTCATGTTCTCCAGTCAAAACAGACTCTTTCTCCCAAAGGTCAACTCGTGAATACATCTCAGCCCTTCTGTAGACCCAATGCTGAATATGGGCACAGAGTGGGCAGACCCTCACATAACCCATCCCCAAACACTACCATGAGAAGCCCCACCCACAGGGCAAAGGTTCAAAGGCTGGCCTTTCATGTGGTGGCCACAGGCAAATGCAGCATAACTGGAATGAGCCATAACCAGGCAGGTCTGGCTGTCTAAGCACCTGAGCTGAGCTTAGCTGAGCATGTGCTGCAGTACTACCTGAGGCTTCAAACTCTGCACGGACATGGGCCAAGCAAAGATGTCCTTTAAGCTTGCCATGCCCCGGGTGGAAAAGGGGGCCAAACCCAGAGGAACATTCTCTTCCACAGAGACAAGGGCCAGGGTGGACAGGGCTGCAAGGACAGAAAGGTGTGAAATCAGATAAGAGGTCAAACCCCATCCCTGCTGCTTAAGCTACTGAGTCACAATCTCAGAAATTCAATCTCTCTATTGTGGGGGGGGGAAAAAAAACCCAAAAACAAACAAACTGTATTTTCAGGGATACTGTGCAGTCAGTCAATCCCACCTTAACTGTGTGTACTAAGTGCTCAGGACATGCCCCTGGTGTGGCAGGGCCAGGTAAGGAGAACATGCTGACACTCCTCTCCACAGGCTCCTTGACCTCATAAGAGCAGGATGCACTTGTCTGTGAAAACAGGCAAGAATGGACGACACACAGCAACAGGGCTTGCAGAACCACCTAGGATGTATTAATACATGCTGTACTGGAAGGCAAGTCTAAGACAATCCAGATACACCACAAGGTAAGGTTCCTCCAAGAGACAAAATGAGACGAAAATATGAATCAGTGGTCTTCAGCGGGAGGAGGTGGTCCGTGTTTACAGAACGAAAATAAGGAGACTGTGCCCAGCAGCTGACCCCTCCCCACCAACTCAAGGCTGCACTGGGTTTGTGTGCCCTGCCGTACTGCGGCCCAAACCCACGTGCTGGGTATATGGGACACGGGAAGTTAAAAATAATCTGAGGAAAGCAACCCTTTTGTCCCTAAATAGTTACTCTCGGGATTATTAAAATAGGAAGAAAGAATGTATACATCTAATTCATCATTCTCTTTGGCCATGAGCAAACTCTACATTGGGCACTACACTGGTCAGAGAGGAACCTTTCTCTTCCTCCTCCCTAACACATTGCTGACATCACAGAGTCTTCACATGCTGGCCTCCAACATCCAGAAACTGGCTCTGCAGCCTGGCTGCCTCCCCTCCTCTACCAAAGGTCCCACCAAGCGACTCTTCATGGGAAGACATGTGCAGATGAGGCACAAACAAAAGCCATCAACACACTTGACGTTACCAGGCTCTGGTGCAGGCAAGGCATATCTCATGACACCCTTAGAGGTCCTGTTATCTGGGCTCTCAGCCCAGGTATGAGAATACAGCTGAAAGACCAGAGTGCACCTGTGAGGCAGTGATCAGGGACAAGAGCAGGTAAGACAGGTTCCTTGCTAGGGCACGGCAGGAAGCCAGTCCACACATCCTTCTTCCCCACCGTCATCACCAACCCCTCTGCCACTATCAGCTTTGTCACCAGCACAAGGGCCTAAAGGGTGCGCTCTCCAGGACTGCCGTGCTCGTACCAGCTCATGGCTCTGTGGCTTGCCCTGCAGCTTCTGGTGGTAGTCGAAGGTAAGCCTGTCCAGCACCGCCTGCTCCTCCTCATCCACGGTGGCCATGGAGCGCTCCTTGTTGATCTTGTCAATGTCGATGGGCTCTTCTCCCTCCAGGATGGCGTTCCACCAATACTCGCCCACCTTGCTCAGGTTCACCTGGGGATAAGCAGGACAGAGACCTGAGTCAGAGACCTGAGACAGGTGTCCAGGGTTGGGGATAGAGCAGAGCCCACTGAAGGATGGGTGTCCAGGATAAGCTCAGGACCAACTACACAAAGGGAGGTGACAGACAAGAGGGGGTGCCAGAACCCAAGGCAGGACACTCTGTGCCTGGGAATGCCTTTGCTGACTGTGCTAACATATCCCAGGGAAGAGCTAGGAGGGGCATACCTGAGGGGACTGACATTCTGGAAGATGCCTTTGTCCTTCTTCAGCAGGTCCTGTATACTCAGGACGGTGTCTGTTCCATGTGCTCACCTTGCCCACTGTCATCAAGAAAGGCTGTTTTCCAAGACCACTGACACCCCCCACACCAGGACCTGTCCTGGGCCATCCCAGCCTGCCCCCATGCATGCCATGGAAGGCTCTGCCTAGCTCTTATCAACCAGTTACCTCTCCAGTGATCTCTCTTGCTTCCAAGAGCAACACCCAGCATTCTGCTATCTTGGGGGTAAGCTGGGACCTGTGAGACTTAGGGCTGGGCCTAATGCATGACAGAATCTCCTGGGGAGTCCTCACCCCATGACAGGGCACCACGCCCTGTCCCTACTTCTTCCTCACTGGGGCCAAGCTTGCTGCATGAGGGGGTCCTCCAGCCCCACTCCTTAAAGTTCTTCCTTCTCGGGAAGGAGGAACAACCATCAAGAACCCCAAAAGTGGTCCCGGCCTCCTCGGGCACCTCTGTGGGGATGGCGCAGACACCCCTTGGTCAAAGGAAGCAGCAACCAGTACTCACGATCCAGCCCTCAGTGCTGGGGTCTGTGAGACTCATGTCATTACCACAAAAACTTAAAAGACAACTGGAACTGCGGTGTCAGAGCAAACGTGAGGGGTACTGTATGTACCTAGGTGACCCGTGCTGCTTGGCCTGTCCCAGGGACACAGAGGAGGGCCCTGGCCACACCATGCCCCCTTATCAATGGTCATGGGGACACAGAAAACAAGAAAACTGGCTGCATCTGCTGTGGTCAGTGGCTGGGCTCAAAATTCTTACCAGAGTGGCCAAGAAGCAACAGAGTGGGTTTGTCTACTTTGTCCTAGATGAGCACTGCACTTTTTCATCAGAAATACTTTATCTGTGTTTAGATTTCATAATATTTACAACTGTAAGAGTACATTCACATGTCCAAGTGTGATGGGACTCTGATGATATTAAACCACTAAGGTGCTCACAGAAAGGGAGAAAAGGTAGCAAAGGGCCCGCAAGTGAGAGCAGCTCTCATCCATGGAGGTGCAGCCACCAGGACACTTACTGACTGGGTAAAACCTACCAAGCCACACTCAGGGTAACTGTGACACCCTAGAGGCCACAGTGAGTCCACAGGACACCATGTCCCCCTAAGAGGGAGCACTGGAGACTCACCAGCATATACGGGCTTGAGAGAGCAGTGTCCTAACACTGGACCTTCCACTTTCCCACTTCCAAGCCCCTGCTGCCAAAACCTACCCACACCATAGAAGGTACTTAGCGCTAGACCCTGCAGAGCCCAGAGATCAAGTCGGAGAATGTGCTCTACTAACGAACACGGTGGACACTGATGAGGTGTGGAAGAGCACACAGTGGAGATTTTCCAGAACTGGGAAGAGCAAGACAAAAACCTGCAATCATGATCTGAAGCCAGCATCCCAGAAATCTTGTCTGACATTCCCAGTGCAGATAGGGGGAGTGGTGAACAGGGGGAGTGGGTGGTGGCTCCCCTACACGCCAACTCTACCCAGTAAATGACGCTGCTCTGCCAGTGCCAAATTTAAATTTGGGATGAATTTTCCATTTCCAGATACTCTGCTCAGCTGGTTTGTAGCTGACTTTACAGTTTGTGTGACGGGGACCTGACTCACCCACAGAGACCCCAACACTAAGAACTCTACCTCGTCTTTACCAAGCTGATGCAATGAAAAACCTTCCAAGAGGGAACTATGTTGTTTTCTCTATTCCAGGGAAGACTTCAGAGGAACTTACAGAACTGTAAATCTCTGGAAAGAAGAGATCCTTTACGAATTTTTTATCTTCACCAGTAGTTATTACTGTGATCTATGTAACTTATTTTATTAGCGTTCACAAGTCCTATAAAATACATACCATTACCATTTACCACACATACCATTTTTTGTATTTAAAAATAAGGACAAACCCTTGGAAGTAAGGGCCTTTTCCAGATTGCCCAGCATGAAGAGGCAAAGCAGAGCTACACTGGGGCTGACAGCCCACTGCCAGCACCATGTGGGCAAGGGGTTGGCCTACACACCACCCAGGGGACGGTGCTGGTACTCCCAGGCCTTTCTGCACTACACAGACCCCAACACATGGTTTCACCGGCCAGGTCCAAACACACACCCAGACTGGAGGGCTCCTGGGCACAGTAGGAGATGGACCTGAAGACAATGAGCCACCTGCCCAACAGGAAGGAGGGGAACATCCCCGAATCTTCTGTGTCCACAAGTGTACTCTGGACACAGAAGTACACTTGAACCCAACAAAAATTAAGATGAGCACTGCACTTTTTCATCAGAAATACTTGATCTGTGTTTAGATTTCATAATATTTACATTGAAAGAGTACATTCACATACCCAAGTTGTTTCAAAAATATTCAAGGTTTTCCAAGAACTAAATCAAGTAGGTTTTAAATTTAAGTTAACTAAAATAAAATAATTCAGTTCTTCAGTCACGTGAGCCACCTGTCAAGTGTTTACTCAGCTGTCACATGTGGCAAGTGGCCACTGTGCTGGGCAGTGCAGCTCTCCAAGGGGGCCATCCTCACTCACAGACGTCATGCATGTGCATCAGTGAAGTATTTTAGGAGGAGATGTGAGCCGACTTTATATTGAACAATTTTTAATTAAGGCAAAATCCACTTAACACAAAACTTACCATTCAAAAGTGAACTCAACGGCATTTAGAATATCCACAATGGTGCACAACCATCACCTTTATCTAGTTTCAAAACACTTTTATTACCTCACAAAGAAGCCCTGTGCCAATTACCAGTCACTCCCCATTTGCTCTAATCTTTCCTCTAAATTGTTCCCTCAACCCCACCAAGCCCCTGGCAACTACTAATGATTCTGCCTCTATAGATTTGCCTGTTCTGGACATTTCACACAAATGGAATAATACAGTTATCTGTTTGTTTTTGTCTGGCTTATTTCACTTGGCATAATGTCCTCCTCAATGTTCATCTATGTTGTAGCATGAATCAGAACTGCATTCCTTTTTAAGGCTGAATAATATTCCACTGTATGGATAAACTACATTTTGTTTATCTATTCATCAACTGACAGACATTTCAGGTGCCCCCACTTTTTGGCTGTTGTGAATAATGCTGCTATGAACACTGATGTACAAACATCTGTTTGAGTCCTTGTTTTCAATTCTTCTGCATATTTACCCAGAAGTGCTGGGTCATATGGTAATTCTACAGTTAACTTTTTGAGGAACTACCATACTATTTTCCAAAGCAGCTGTACCACTTTACATTCCCACCAGCAGCATACAATGGTTCCAGTTTCTCCATACTCTCACCAACACTTGTTATTGTCTGCTTTTTTTTTTTTTTTTTTTTTTTCAGTCATCCCCACAGGTGTGGCTAGCACCACTGGTCCTTTGTCCTGACCACAAACACACAGGCCTGCCTCCTCTGCCTTCCAGACCTGCTCCAGTCAAGTTTCCATCTGTCGTCACTGTAACCAAGTGGGCTGCCCTCCATACTGGGGCAGCAAACAGGACCTGAGGTGTTGTCTATAAAGGTTCATATAAAGGCTCTGGAAGACCAAGGTCTCAGTTGCAAAATTTTAGTTAAGTATTTATTTAGTACCCTTAAAATATCTTCTGTTTTCTAAGGATGAGCATATTAGTAAAAACAATATGAACAATATTATTAACATGATAATTATCCTAAAAAAGCACATTCTAACATCGTTCTTGACTTGCCTAGAATTCCTCTCCACACTATTCCTTTACAGAATTCCATCTCTCACTCTGAGCTCATAACCCCAACCCGCAGATCCCCATTCCTTTCTTTTTCCCAAACTCCAGACCTTTTTTTTTTTAATGGCCCATGTCTCTTAAGTCATTGAGCTGACAAGCTTCTTTATGCTCTGAACATTCTCATGTTCTATAAACTGGTTTAATTTGTAACTATTTCTGCCATCACTGTCCACATTTAACTACTTTCCTTAGAGTAACGCTTCTGGGACGCCTCAGATATGACTTCAGGTAGTTAACCTTCAAAACCACTGAATGGTACAGAGCATACAAGTCTTGCAGGGCTGTCTCCTGACACCCAGTGCAAGATGCAGTTCTAAGAGGACATGGGTACAATGTTCCTGGGATGGAGTTCAAAGGCTTCTACCTAAAAATAACACCTCTGAAAAAGTAGTCTGATAGTTTTGCACTTGTTTTTGTTTTTTTTTCTGTGAATATTTTATTTTTTTAAAGTCAGGTTTGTGGAGGTATAGTATGTACATAGTAAAACTCACTCTTTTGAGGTCACATCTCCATGAGCTGCTGCTATAGTCAACCCACATCCCAGAAGCCCCGTGCCCCTTCTCAGCAGTCCTCTCAGCCCAATGCTCATTTTGCCATCCAGCATGTCCGTGTCCAGAAATGTCACATGTGTGGAATCACACAGTGTGCAGTCCTGTATCTCATGACTCCTCTGAGTGTGGGGACTCTGACGTTCAGCCACACTGTGCTTCATGGCAGGCGGACTACACACTTGTTTGTGGACACCTGGGCATTTCCAGTGTTTTGCAATCAGGTAAAGAGCTGCTGTAGAGATCTGCATGCTTTCATTTCTCCTTGGTAAGTAGCCAGGAATGCGTGTGTTGGGTCATATGGTGTCAGCTACTGTCCAGACTAGCCACTCCACTGCACCCCTACCAGTAGCACAGAAGAGCACCAGGTGCCCCGTCTCATCTAGCATTTGGTGCTGTCTA